AGTCCCCTTTGAGGCAACTGTTTCTACTCCAAACTCTCCTCTACTTCATTTATGTGCCAGATCACTGCATGTCTGGCCCCATCCTCCCCAGAGGGGAAGCCATCCCTCACTCATTTCTCCTCTCCTTCCCCCCAGCTTGGCTCTTCAGAAGATCAATACTTCATTTTCCTAGACAGGACTAATTAAAGTCTTCCCAGCCATCATTACAGCCTGAGCACCTCCCTGTTTCTAGGGCACGACCAGCAGGCATCGCACAGGGCACACACAGCAGGGCTCCAGGGACTCAGCCCAACCAATGTCCTGCTACAGAAGCAGCACGAAGAGAGAAAGTCCCAACTCTTTTCCTTTTTATCGAGTTCCCACAGTACTCAAGCACCAGATACATCACCAGGCAGCACAGGGAAGTGCTGGTTCCTCCACACCAACCAACTTCCAGCACAGCTCTACCCTCCTTCCCTAGGAAGTTCTGGCACAGCTGCTTCCTGTAGAGACAGACCCAGCTGATCCTAGTTTGAAAAAGCTTCTGCAGGTGAACCAGCAGCAGATAAGCCCTGATTTTAAACTCAAAGCCTCAAAATTGACATTGCTGGCTGGATTTTTTTTTTTTTTTAATAAACTGAGATTAGGAAAGTTTACCAGCCTACTTAGGGAGTCAGTATCTGAGGCTTAGCAATGCATATGCTGGGAGGCATCTGTGGGTGGTGATGCTTCCCTGCCCTCAAACTAAAGGCAGAAGAAAGACCTTTGGGAGGCTCAGTAAGAAATAGGCAGGCTGATAGCCTGCAGAAAAGATCAAGGAGGGAGTTACAGGAAGAATTAATTCCTCCCACCTCCAGCTATTTCTTTCAGCATGTAAAAGCCAGTCATTAACTGTTCTTAACTTTTGCCAGAAAGGATATTTTCCTGCCTAGCCAGCTGAGGATCGCTTCTTCAGTCGTTTTCAACTGATATGCCATTGTAGCCTAGAAATCTCTCTGCCAGCTCCTGCAGTATCCCTCTAGAAGCAACCCAGGCACCCATGCAAAGAATTGGGGTATGTACGTCTGGGGGGACAAACCCAGCGAAAGATTCAGGCAGGGACCAGGCAAGGAAGGCTGGAGGCTCTTTTCCAGTGGGAGGTAAGGTGGAATAAGAACAGGCTGAAACACTTGTTTCAAAGTGGATTTTATTCCAGGCATTAAACAGATTCTGGCACATGCTTTCTTCAAGGAAAGGGAAAACAAATCTAGGCTCCACATAAATTACATCTGGCAAAGTGCAACTTACAAGTGAGTGGGGAAAATAAACCTTTTGAAATTGATTTCTGTACAACAGTAGTTTCAGCTCCTCTTAAATAAACCCCCATTGGTTCACAGCACATGAAATTACACTGGATGATCTGATAAAATAACAGCTTCTTAAAAGGTGTTACCCACGCAAATGTTCTGTCTCGACAGTCTAGGGGGCTGTTTAAAGTAAACAGGAAAACAAGGAAGAGCAGCTGCTTGTTCTGACTGTTAAAGAAACAAATCACTGGGCCAAATTTAAGGGCTCAGCCAGTTTGCTTTCAAAAACCCCACTGGAGTCCTGTTCCAAAACATGGCACTGTGTGGACCTTGGTGGGAAAAAAGCACAGATAACGTCTTCCTCCTTCCCTTCAGTGCAAGGGAAATGGAGAGTATGCTAATAACGAGTTTGGACAAGACTTTGTTTATTCCGAGGAGAAGTTTAGTTTGCCCATGCCTGAAAGCAGCCTTTTGTAATGCACCTCCTTTTCAGAAATTGCTGAAATCCACTGGAAACCAATGGCTTCCAGAAGATGATGTGGGGGGAGGTCTGCACTGGGCCTACAGGAAGGTCCTGTGAGCAGTGCTTTAGCTGACAGTGGAGTGAGCAGTGGGGAGGTGACCTCAGGAGGACATGTCCAAAACCAGGTAGAGTTAGGGCTCTGGTAACCCCTAACTCCAGGGGCAATTTGAGTTATTGACATCTAGCGAATGCCCACCTTTTCCCTCTTCTGCCCCAGGCCAGGGCACCTGAAGAAGGAGAGTGTCCAGTCTTCTGCTGCCCCAGCTCACAGCCCCAGCTGGACGCCCGTTCACACTCTGCCAGGTGGGGAGCGGTAAGAAGAGAGGCACAATTCAACACAGCTAGTCCAGGTACCTCTGCTCCAGGAGCCGTCAGTAACCTTCAACACTGGAGCCAAGCACAAAGTCAAGGGCAGTAGCCAGCGTGCTGACAAGCGCCCTTTGAAGCCGGGCTAGCCCAGAGCTTGGAGGCTGTATATAAGCAGGGCTCCTGTGGTCCGCAGCAGTCAGGAGAATTGTTGGTAGAGGAGCTGGGTCCTAGTCCCAGTACGGTTATGAAGAAGGGACTGCAAGAAAGCTGCACACACACAGTGGGAGCAAGAAGGAAGGAAGCAGTACCTGGTGGAGGAGTGAACATGCTGTTAGCTGCAACCCTTAAGCTGCTGGAGAGTGAAATGGGGGGAGCTCAGATGGTCCACTTAAGATGCATTTTGATGAAAATACATAATCCTCCAGCACTTCATTGTATACAGAGCTTACATACAGTACCTGCTCAATGGCCTTTCGTCTGTCTTTGCATCAACTTTTTTCAAGCCAGGTATGTGAGACTTTGACTGTTCCCGTCTCCTACTGCCTAATGATGCTGTTCTGGAAGTAGCATCTCCTGCATATTCTTGTTTAGAAAAACAATTGCTAGTAAGACGGCATCTTTCCCTGTGACGGGTCTGCCTGCCCTGCCCTCTTTCTGTTCCTAGGCTATTTTCTTTCCTTCTCTGTTCTTTCCTGGCATCAGTGGTTCAGGCCCAAAGCATCTCTAAATAGG